TTATTATTATTAATAATATATATATATATATATATATATATATATATATATTTTATTAATAAAATCTTTTATCAAGAAGAAAGAAGGTAGAAAGTAATGTCTAAGAAGCAACCGTACAATATAATTGTTGAAATGCAATTACTTAATCCGTCGCATCGCTTGGTCTACGATTCCAGATATTATATATAACTGTTGTCATGAAGTAAAAAGACAAATACAATGTTTCAAAGAATGCCTCTCTGTGTTCAGTATATCCAGTATTAGAAAGCGGGTTGCCGGCGCGACGCGATTAATTAGCCTCTGCGGAAGGGGTTAATTAGGGAAAATGCTATCGGGAACAATGCGAAAAGAGAATGATGAGACGCGACTGGTCTAGCGAGAGAGAAGATAAGAGAGACAATGAAAAGACGGAGAATCACGTTGAATAGCTAATAAATCGCGAAAAATAATCTTATTAAATAAATCATATATTTTAACAATATTTCTTTACGTTGTTGTTGTCGAATTCAATTTTGGCGCTTATTTTGTTTCAAATTGAAAACTTGAAATCGTTTGCACGAAATGCAAATTAATATAAACCGATGCGCCATTTAATTAAGAATCATCATCTTTTTTGTGAAAATTTGATAATTATATGCGTATATTCGATTACATATTTAAAAAATATATATTTTTACACACCTGAAAAATTTTAAGTATCAGATGTAATAAATCTAACATTTTTAAATTTAGTTTTAATGTTTACGTTTAACAAAATGCGACGGTCGATTTTAAAATTTTTTAAATCGTCGACGATCTCAAGTTTTCACGAAAGAATCTATTTCAGATAGTGATTGTTTGATCTATGCATAATCTACAGCCCAGAGTCCACCTTTTGCCATCTGAAACATCCCCGCCACGACGAGAACTGGAGTCGCAATATCGCGATATATCCCACATCGCTGCTTATCGCATATAAATACCATTCCAACGGTCTCGAAGTTCAGTCGACACGTACGTGTTAGCGACACGAACTCTAAGTTCTTTGGCTTTACCTCGAAGACATATAAGCACGCCGGAAATCGGCCATGTCTATTTTTCAAATATCCAAAGCGGTTTCATTTATGGAGAATAAAATAGGTAGGTCTGATTTTGCGTTTAACGCAAAACATGTATTTGATCAATATTCTAAATTATTTTGCAATTCAATGCCCGAATTCTTATCACAAAAAGCTTACCTTACAAATTAATGGTTTCTATAACTCTATAATAGTTTTTATAACTCTAAAATTATTTGTACTTTAAAGTGAATTTTTTTTCATTTATTGAGCGAGTTTTATGTTACAGATCCGAGTCTAAGATCGCTCCGCCGTCGTTCTTCGGCGTCCGAAAGAGCAAAAGAGATAGAAGCGATCAATTGCATCGTTTCTGGAAAAAATGTTCTAATAACTGGCGGTGCGGCAGGATTGGGCTATGCCTTTCTTAATCATTTTTTGAAACACGGAGCAAACGTAAGTTTAAAAAAAATAATCAATACAAGTAAAAATTTGAAAAATCTGATGATATATCTAATTATAATTTCTAAATTAAAAATTAATATTATTTTACAAATTAAACATTTCTCTACAGAATAGCATTAATTGTTAGTAATATTTATAAAATATTGACATCACTTCAGTTAAATTTAATTTAAATTTATTTTTGCTGCAGAAAATAATCATATTGGACATTGATGCTGAAAGTGGTAAACGAATCGCACTCGGCATCGCAAAATCTTATGGTGAGAAGAAGGTGCACTTCATACACACCGACATATCTAATCACAAGCAAGTTACTGGTAAATATATAGCGAGATTCTCAAATCGCGTATAGATGTTTGTCTCAAAACCATAATCACTGAACCCCTCACCGAGTATTGCTATCTTATTTTGTCTCCACTGTATCAATTTAGAGGCTTTCAAAGAAGCGTCATCGCTGTTGGGGAACATTGACATCGTGATAAATAACGCTGGAGTTTTAGACGAGCGAAGATGGGAAAAGGAAATCGCGGTGAACATTGTAAATATCAATATTGATAGCAGTTTATTGATTTATTAGTAATTTACTTACTTTGCTGATCACTTCAGTGATTTCGATAATTTTATCATTTTCATATTCTGCCCTCTTACAATGTGTTTTCTTAAAACTTCAGATATACTTTATCTAATTTCGTGACTTCCATTACTTTATCAAAATACACGAATATTAAATAACTAGAAAATAAATGTCATTAATGAATAATAATAATAATAATAATAATAATAATAATAATAAGCATAATAAAAATAAAAAGTAGATCTCAATGTGCCGTGTTTGATCTTCTAGGGTGGTATGATGAGCACCGCGATGCTAGCCATGAAATATATGAGCAGAGATACAGGTGGTCATGGTGGTATCTTGGTGAACGTGAGCCAGCATGTGGATATTCGAAATACAGCTCAACTTCCGGTTTACACTGCCACGAAACACGCCGTCATCGGTCTATCGCAGTCTCTTTCGGTAATTTTACACAAAGAATTTAATATAGTTAAGCTAGTTCCAGCCATACAAACAATTATCCTTAAAGTAATTATTCTTAAAATAATTATTTAAAAATTAATTTTTTAACATTTATATTGCCATTTATAAGCGATCTTGCGAGACACTAAGAAAATATTTCCATTATCTGGAATAAGAATTTTCATAATCCCGTTTGCTCCTTAATAGGATCCTTATCATTATGAGAAGACTGGCGTTACCGTGATAACTCTGTGCCCAGGACTGACGGAAACCGCCCTGACAGTAGATAGCCCCAATAAACTTCTCTCCAGAGTTATGAAGGCAGATTTCGTCAAAAATCTTGAACAGTTCTCGATACAAACGTGAGTCATCGACGATATTGTCTTTATATCATTGACATGTCAAACTTTAATCCGACATGATAACCAAATAAGGACTGATTTATTATATCCTTGTCAAATTAAATTATAATATAAATGCATATTTTACTTTCCTAACAAATAATGAATATTAAATATTTAATTAAGTAAATAAATTATGTTTGAGAAGAAATGTTTTCCTTGTTACAAAAATGTAAAAATTCAAGATGTAGCTCTAAAAATCTAAGATTCATGTTGTAAATCCGATCCTGAAACGAACGTTACATCTCCTCTGGTGCTTACGTGTAATCGCTAATAGAGATAAATTTCTCAACGTCTCATCGTTATTTAATCTTATTTTTACAGGCCTTACGTAGTCGCGCAGGGTTTAATGACGATCTTGAGGATCGGCGAGTGCGGTAGTATTTGGGTTATCGAGAGCGGCAGAGCGCCTTACGAAGTTTACGTGCCAAATCCTCACACTCTGCGCCGTTACTACAAGAATAACTTCCCACATGTCGACACTAAGGTCGTGGGAGGTCGCACGATAAGAGAAGTCTGCGACAGCACGAGGACAGGACTGTTGAGCTGTGCCTGATAACCGGCGAGCGCCCGACCGTGATCTCTCTCGCTCTCTACTCGCTCTTAGCGTCCAAAATCCTTCTTCAATCCGCGTGGCGAACTAGAAACTTCGTGAAGATATTTCGTGAAGATATGCGTAAATCAGTGCAACCGGAAGTGCACGGAAGTACGGACAAAAATCAGAGCAATACGTGGAAAAAAGGCGTCCTTGAGATTCCTCGTAGATGATTTTACATTACAAAATCTTACGCATATTTCTTTTGCCACTCCGATCTTTTGCCGCTGCGCTGGTTCACATTTCCATCGTAATTTCCTTACACATACGTGTTCAATTTCTATTTCTTTTTTTTTTAATCAAAACATCAGATTGTATGAAGATGCCTGTGATAGAGAATAATTTTAAATAATAAACGCTTTAAAAAGAACAATATTGATAATCATTTTTTTTAAAGAACATTACTGATATTAATCTTGGAAAAAAAATTGTTAAAATGTTATGCAAATCTTATACAGATCTTGTAGGATTAACTCATGGCTGCAGACTGCAATATTATAAATGTCTACAGTAAATTTCACGTTAATGGAAGTTTTATGTTTCTATATTAATGTATGACAATTCTTCTGAGCCATTTAAAAACATCGGCATGGGAAGTTCGTGTGCAAAAATAGGAAAACATAATCTTCCAGTTAGTTACGGATCAACAAGATCCGTTAAACTTTAAAGAGTGCGATATCGAGTATAATAAATCATTCTAGATATTGTGTCGCTTATCAAGCATTTAAAATACTGGATAGAGCATGGAAGACGCTGTTTTTTTATGCATACACTCTGATCCAGCACACTACATGTAACGCGCAGCACACTTTAATATCGCCAAACACACGATAACTTTACCAACAACATATGTTCGAGTCCTATTAAAGGCGTTATATAATTTTATTTACATCCGAGTACATTTTTCTTTTTTCGTAACTGCACAACACGCATCTTTCATATCTCAAAGAGTCGCTCTTTAAAATTCGCGTAATCTAGCATTTAAACTCATAAAAGTTTTATCTTTCACATTTGCATCCATCGAAGAAGAAGCATGGAAAGGACGATGTCCGCATGAATATATTTTACAATTTTCGTGACAACTTGGTAAAGAAACGAAAAAGTGTTTTATTTCATTCGATTGTTGGGTAAGTAGTGTGTAGGAAATTGGAAATGACACGACGACGTGTTATTTCATCATTTCAGTATTATTCAGCATCGGAAATCACAATATATCCGCTGTACAAAACAAAAATCCATTCTCGCGTACATTATGAATTCTTCTCGCATGCTCAAAGCATGAAACTTAAAAGTTAAATTTATCATTTCTTACTTCCTTCTACTATTCGTTTATTTCGTTTTGTAGTCCTACGTTTCTTTTTACCTCACTCTGCATTTCTCCTCTGATAGCCTATTGGAGATTTGCTTATCAGTTATGTAAATCTCAAGTTGCGTACGTATGTGTTTATGTGTGTATTTATATATCTGTATGAGAGTTGGGGGACTCCGTACGAGCCATAGAAAAATAATAGTTGCAAATAATATTTTTATTCTGTTTCATCTCCACGTCTTATATCTTTAAGGATATTATCATGCTTTGTTTAGTCTTACTCACATCGCCATGTAACATAATTCTACGCGCAGCGTTGCCGTGCATCCAAAAGGATTCTTCGAATGCATAAGTAGTCGATTATAATTGAATTATGACGAATAAATTTTTATTTGCGTTTAACGCTTTTGAAAATTGTTACGACCATTCAAATTTGCATAATCTATGCAAATTCGGATATTTTACTTACATGTATAAAGCATTATGTTCGTTCCAAAATTAGAACGATTGAATAAATTTATGAAAGAAAAATGGATTAATTATGAATTTATTTGAATATACATGCATAATTGTTATATCACATAACATTTTAATTGAAAAAAATTATCTTATTTAGAAATAAATTATTATTTAAATACTTTTTGCTTGTATACATGTATATTAAATAGGAATGCTCCAATTTTCCTTTGAATGTTTACATTAGAATTTTAAAGTTAACAAAATACGGAGAAACCCCGACAAAATATTAATTTTAGATATAATTATAAATATTAGGAAACAAATTTTAATGAGCATTATATATAAGTTATAAATTTGATATAATCATTAATTATAATATATATTTGTTGTATTAATCAAAATTTACTTGATATATATAAAAGCAATCGAGGAATCCTTAATTGCAAAACACGATGACAAGTATGTAACATGATTTAGAACTTAGCTACTTACAATAAGACTGACGCTTATACTTCCATAATTCTAGATGCAGATCTTGCAAAGAAAGAGTAGGCGGACCGTAAAATTACAATTTAATAATACAAAAGTTTTATATAAACTGTGTGTGACTCTCGCTTATTTCCCATTTATATTCATCCGCCTTAATAAAATTATACATTTATATGAACTTCGTGCCGAGGACTCGAAAAACTGTCTGCGTACACTCAAAAAAATCAAAACAAAAGAAAAGAATACCATTTTTATCAGATTTATCTTGTACTATGTACCTCACAATATTCCTATTCTCGACAAATGCAATTAGATACAATCGATTTTTACATACTTTGACGAGAAAGTACTTTTATGCACGTCTGTTGCCATCCACTTCCGATAAACGGATACAAACAAGCTATTCCATAACGACCAGTATTATCAAGTCACCATCACCAAAACCATTCCATATTCCATTAGTTATAGTCAAGTCTTGAGAAAACTGGACTAAAGAATGATCACGATCGAATTGTACACAATTTTTTTCTAACTACAGACAGATACACCACTGATTTGTTTAAAGCGGTTTCATATTTCATTAAGAATTATATTAACAAGACATTTACTTCAAGTAAAACTTACGACTAGTCCTCTCACAAGTAATTTCCTTTCCTGATTTCTTAGATATGAATTCACACAAATAAGTATCAATATAAAAAAGAAGAACAAGGAACGTTTTAATCATAATTGACTTCGCTTCCTTGATAAAAACGTTCTATTCTTTTAACGCCAATTCATCGTGATCATTGTCGACTAAGCGATAAGAAAATTCGTCTCTAAAAGTACCTTCTTCGATCATTTAGTCGCAAAATATCGATGCAAAGAGTCATATGCGCCAGCAGTGTCCACGTATGCAATTCTTGTCACCTAAACACATAACCACCGGTTTGGCGATTGCAAACGCACTCCGTTATGTAATATAATCTACATTTAATCCGGCCGTGTATATTTTCTTTTATCCAACTGCCAAATTCTAATCCAAATCAGTCCATAACGGTAGAGCATATCGTAAAAATCTTAATCTATAGTTGTGTATACTTATACATAGAGCAGCGCATCGCTTTCTCCCCGGCATATTACTTTTTACTTTTTCACGCCATACCGGTGACAAATTACATTTTTCTTTTCTTTATTTAGATAACGTTCGTCTGCGATTGAGAGGCAGACTGTTCGTTGGTCGCGCGATTTTGACTTCCCATGTTATTCTGTAATTGGTTAGGGGGTTTGCGATTACCGCCCCTGCTACCTCGATAGCCACCACGGAATCCAGCGTTGTTACCACCACCGCTGCCCCTATACATTCCTCCCATTCCACGATTATAGTAACCACGGCCACGGAATCCTCCGCGCCTTGTTGAAGCCACACCAAACGTTTCTGAATTCAGCTTTCGTTCTGTTCTCCAATCCGTGCGTTGGAATCGCCTGAAAAAATTTGTAGTATAAAGAAAACAAAATTTTGTGTAAATTGCAAAATTATATTGATAATATAATAATTAAAAAATTCGATTTTTATAAGAAAAAAACTTCATAAAATTTGTATGTTTTAAAATTGAGAAGTTGTATAAATGCAGATATATAGAAAGTTCAATATTCTTAAATTTCTAATATCTCAATTTTTTCGATTCTAAAGAATGTAAATCATAATTGTATCGACATTTAATTGCATAATGATTGTATCTATTAAATATTTTCTTAATGAAACATACCCTTTACTCCTTTCAACAGCTTCACAGCTAATATTATCAAAGAATGATTTCGACTTATCGTAATGAACAATTTCCGGTTCCTCCTCGGGTTCACCTTCACCAGCACCTGTCTCATTTCCACTATCGTCTTTCTTTTCATTGTCAGCACCATCAATTTTCGTTTTCGCCAATTGTGATCTGTGAATATTACATCTTAGTGTCACATTTAGATATAAATTACATTAAAACCAAATAATGCGATTTTATGATAGAACAATGTTAATGTGATGCGTAAGCAATTCGTATTAGATGTAATTACTATTGCTTTAAATTCACATTGGTTTACTTTTGCATGGTATCCACATTGGTCATTTCAGTAATTACTAGAAATGAATCCGGCACGTAACCATGCAGGATCAATCATTAATCTTTATAAAAAATAAAAAAAACAAAAAAAAACATTTATGACCTTACCTTAATTCCTCGAACTCAGTGTTAGCTTGTTCGAAATCATAGTCGTTATCAAACTTTAGTGTCTTAGGCTTGGCACCAGCGTTGTTTGCTTGATTCGTGCGGAAACCACCACGTCCTCTACCTCCTCGACCTCTCATGTTGCCACGATTTACCCAACCACCACGGTTGCCTCGACCACCTTGAACATGACCTTGATTCTGGCCATCTTGCTTTATCATATCTCTCTTCTCGTTATATTGAGACATACCCGCGTTAGTCTTGTTACCATGGCTGAACACACACAAAATTAAAATATTCATTATATCAACATTCATGAAACTATACAATTTAATCAAATTAATAATAATTAAGGATTTATCATTGAATTGTTTTGTATTTATATAATTAAAAAATTCTGCGTATCAAATAAAAATAATTGTACTTTTAATAATATCAGAAATCTGAAAAATGGAACTATCACTAAATTTTACTATTTACAAAACTATAAAAAAATATTTAGTAATTCTATTTTAGTAATTTTTTAAGCAAAATACCTGTCATGGTCTCGACGAGGCGGTTGGACGGTCCTGATATTTGTCTTGTCATTCAATTTGCCAATGTTACTGCCCTGCTGCTGTTGTTCATGTCCTACTTGAATACCTTGATCCATAGTTGGACTTTTCCTTGTCAATAAGGATGATGTAGGAGTGGTAGAACGAGAACCACCGCTGATAAGATCCAATACACCTATTATATCGCAATATAAACACGTCATATAATGTCGGTACATAATAGCTGACCAAAAATGCAAGCATTCCTAATTCAACACGAAACTTTAGTATAAGAAAATAAAGACATACTTTCCATTCCCAACTTTTGAAATGAAAGATTGCTACTACTTTCTACAAAAGTTTCGCGTAAAAGAAATCTCTTGAGGATTTTTAAACAATTATTATTGTTTATTATCAACTGTTGTTGCTATTCTGTTATTTATAAGTATAAATGGAATAAAATTGAAAAATGCATGCAGATATAATATTTACTAATTTTAAAAAAAGATCAAATGTAAAAAAGATAAATTATATACAAAATGATTTAAAATTTTAATGGACATATTCATTAAAAAATATTTTTCAAAATTTAAAAAATATTTAAATTTCAAAAATATACAAATTTATTGTACATTCAGTGCATAATATTTACTCAAATTTACTCAAAATTATTATAAGATACATATCTATAAATACAGAAAAAACACAGGTAAAGCATGGAATTTGCAAGCAAGATATTAAAAATTTAAGAGAATAAAGATAGGAATAGGCTTTTGTTTGTAGAATAATTCAAAATTTAATTATAATGTTAATTATAATGTATAATATATAAAGTGTATATGTAATATAATGTATATAAAAAATGTTAAAATAATCAAGTGTTTGTGTGCATACGTTTTATATTACTTGAGACTAAAGCATAAAGCTTGATAGAGACAAATTTTGCAGGCATTACCAAAACAGGAGCAGCAAGAAGCATGCCAGCAAGGCAAGGGATATTTCATAGCAAAAACAGTTACCATCTTCCAGAGATTGATCTTTTGGTAATGGGTCGATATTGGCCGTTGGCAGTGAGTTTGGGATAGAGATGGCATTGGGTTCAGCAGAGCCCAAGCTCAACTCACTTGGCTGTTTATTCATAGGTCCGCGAGGATCTCTAGCTGCAGTTGGCATTCCCATTACCGGACCCATAGCTCCTATGCCCATGCCGTAGGGGGCTCCATATTGACCACCCATCGGGCCCATCTGGCCCATCATTGGATGAGCATAATTGGGCTGTGGTTGATACGATTGCTGACTCATAGATGGCTGCACTGTCATCTATGAACAAAGAATTAAATGTTTAATATAATGTTTTTATTTATAAATCCTGATAATGCTCATTTCAAGATGACTCCTGTTTAGAAAACAAAAATTCTATAAAATAATTACCTGCACGATTGCCGGATCATTGGGAATAGAACTAACATTGTTGACAACTCTGATGTCTTTAATGTCTGAACCACGGAACAGAATGTATTCATATACTTGATTTTGTGGTGCCACAGGAAGTTGAGTTTCTCGATCTTCAGTACCAAAAGAGCGCACTATAAAAAACAACAAATTAGTTCGTTTCATTGTAATTAGATATCGTTACAATTTCTTATTACAATATATTAATATTGAATGGGTGATTTATTAATATTGACGATACTCAAGCAATTATTGAATATTTAAGTTATAAAACTATAAAATATCTATAATACTAAAATAACCTATAATAACCACCTTGAATTTAAACCCTACTCCATAATAGCATTATTATTTATATCGCATTAATTTATCGTACAAAAAAATTTACACATTATTTATTTTTTTACATTATCATTATAGAAAAAGGAATTTTATATCAGAATTGTAGTGGTTTGTAAATTATCACCGTGTCATGTTCCATTATTAATGTCATTTTGTGAACATTGCAATTTATTTTATCCGAGTAAGAAGCGATCTGAAATACTGAGAAATTTTATATTTATAAGTTTCTTTCACATGACTCCAACAGTACATTTCCACGAATAATATTTGTTCCTTATATCTGAAATATTCCAAAGTCATTCGTTTACTCGGTTTGGAACAAGCGGGACAAGAGGAGCAAGGACACGTAAACATTCAACAGAAGAAAGAGACAAACATTCCACACAAGCGTTACACATACCAAATCCAAATTCAAAATTACATCTTCGGCATTAATAACGGCATTAGTCGATAACTGCTCGAATTCTTGGAATCTACGAGGTGTTGTAATACAACACGGCGAGCTGTGTTCATATAAAATTTTTAAATTTTTCTATCGAGTACTATCGAGTATCAATAATCTAATAATCTAGTAAAATAGATAATTGACGTGAAAATTTTCCGGTAACCTCGGTCAACGTACAACATAACGCACGCAAATCGAGTGATTCGAAAATTCCGACGGACACCCGACACTCGACATTTTTCGCCGCATGTGCAGGTCGAATCGCACGATGCGATCGATAGATCAGCTTAGATAAAATCAATTGCGACCAAGATTTCCGTTAAGCGGTTTTTGTTTCGGAGAGATATTCGATATTACGAAGGGAGTTACAGATCGCCGCGATCCTCCGATTGTTTCGCGGCGCAATGCCGTTGGCACCGGCGGCATCTCCGACCATCTCCGATCTTCCACCGACTTCGTGATCGCGGAGTGCTGGCGAATCAGTGTCGGGAGAATCTTTATCGGCCGGACTTATTCGTCTGGTGGTGCTCCAATTTCGCGCATCTTGCCTTCCCGCGGAGTTGCGAAGAGATGACCTCTACGTTTACTCCGCGGTAATGGAACGTGACGAATCACGTACAATGCCCGTTCCCGCGCACAATGACACGGGCGTTCGACGACTCGGCGACGTTATTTGCCGGTCGCAAGCACTTCCGACGGCGAGTGGGCGGGCGAGTGGGCGAAAGAGAAAAAGAGAGAGAAAGAGAGAGAGAATGAGAGAAAGCGAGAAGGAATGAGCAAGCGACCGGCTGTTTTGCGGTGCGAGGAACAAGAAGACGCGGAAGAACATGGAATCTCAGTGGTAATGGCAGCGACAACGGATGATGGTGACGGCAGCGGCGGGACAGCATGGTAGATGAGATGCGACGCGATGCGAAGCTATGCGATGCGGCGGGAATCCATCTTGGATTTCCGCCGTGCTACTCACCGTTAGCCAAGGCAATCGTGCACTCCTGTGGATCGACAGTGAACAAACGACCTTCATAACGAATATCCGCCTTCGAGATCAAGCTGATCTTCGAGCCCAGCTCTGGCATACCACCGCTCATCTTGACTCTGTCTCCGTCGTGCACCGATCGATGTGATTTTACGGGATTCACGACACCATCTGACGGAACCGTCCAGCTGACACCGATGGTCGACGGCGGACTGTGGCGGATTGCCAGGAGTGCCAACGGCGCGCGGCGCATGCGTACCAAGTCCCCGCGCGCGCCGCCAGGAGGCTCCCAGGCTCCGGGGCGATTTTCAAATGGCGAAAATATTCATGAATGTAAAAACAACAGCGTTTCCGACTAAACATGTTATATCGCTATTCGATAATATCAAATATTCGATATTTTTTTTTAATTCGATATAAAAATATCGAATAAAAAGTTTTCATAGAAAATCGACTAGATATTTTTTTAACTATTAATTTTTAATTTTTAATTATATTCATTTTCAATTTTGATAAATATTTTTTTAATGTTAAATGTTTTTAATGTTATGCTTAGGGCATAAGAGTTTATATTCAGACAAACCTGTAGTCGTATAAATAAATATAGTCGTATAAAAAAAAAATTTGAAATTGTATTATTTTAGATTGTATTAGATTTAAATTGTATTAGATTTTAGTTTTTTTTTAAACTATTCATTATATTCGATATACCTTCGATATACCTATTTATTCAGGATGGATATAAATAATTTTTTAATTGATGAATACATTTATAGTCAATATTTTTGTTCAATAAGTATATTTCCAACTGTTCATTTTTATCAATGTAGGTTAACTTTAATCTCGGTTCTAATTTATTTTTTTTCTTTTTTTAGATTGAAGAATTAAAATAAGACGAGGAGTAAATTAAACTGAAATGAAAATTAATTTGTATTGATATAAATTGATAAAGTATATTTATCATATTTACATTCAATTATTTTTTTTAGTTATTTAGTTATGACACAGGATAAATCCTACTTGTGCGTATCTTCGTGATACTAGAAAAATTTTTAAGGATGAAAAAGTTTCGAGATTCGCTTGCATCACATTTGTTTATTTTTTATTATTAGATCTATTCTACAGCTAAATAAATGTGCACTTAAAATAGATATATATTTGAAGTTTGGCAAAAGCGTTTTAGTACGATCTAAAGCAATCCATAGATTCATACATATGAATTAAAAAAGTAAAGATAAAAAAAATTTATACGTAATCGATTACGCGCTATGAATTATCGCACGTTGATCTGGGCACGTGACACGCGCCGTTGGCAATCCTGTGTAAATCCGAAGTCGTCCTCACGGTGTTCTCCCCACCGATGTTTTAACCTCCCTCGGGCCCTCCCGAGGACGGATCCACCGAGCCGGAATAATTGCGGGAGGATTTTTGTGACAATCGCGAGGTTGATTCTCCGTTGACCGTCCAGCGGAATCTTCACTGACTAGCAACTAACCCTCCGCACATTGCACCTCTGGCCAACATGGCGGCGACGTTAGGTCGGATTTGTAAATCGGGTCTTCTAAAACCGAATTATGGCACGTTACTCGGCCAGGTAAGTCAGCGGCGAATCTCCACGCTCGTCAGGACATCCGTGCGGCTCCCACGCGAAAATCCGCGCGGACGTCGCGACGTCCGTGTCAACAATGCCGATGACGTTAACCAATATTGACCCATGGCCTCGCATCTGAGGCCGCACTGTCGTGCGAGCTGTCGGCTACTAAATGTCACATTTTTCTCGACGATCACATTCCGCGAGACGTCCGCGCGACTTCGGACGCCGGCGAAGGGTCCGACGACGTGCGACGTCAACGTGGTGATGGTTTCGACGGCACTTTAATAGATGTTATGTAATAGCGAGTGGTACCAAAAATCTTAAGATGCTGCCATGATATCAAACATGCGTTTTGCTGGATGCACCGTGTCCTGCCAATAGCGTATAACATAATGTATGAGCGTGCCTGCTGTCTGAAACGAATTAGTTTGCACGCGTGAATTTTATTTCTCGGTTGTATAAAAAATTGTGCCGACAATTGTCAGTTTTGAGTTGAAGTTGAGTGTTATTTATTGTATACTTGTATTCTTTAACAACTCTTATTGAATATTTTCTTCTTGATTTGATCATGTGATATTTATAAGAATGAAACATATGGAAAGCTTTCCTAAATTTAAATTTATTTATTCGTAGATAATCTTAGACTTGGATGTTTTTTAATTAGATAGACAGATTATGTTTGACATATAAGATATATATTTTATGACATTGTATAAATAATATTTTGTAATAACAGTTATTACATGTATAAATAAAATTTATATTTTTAAAGATAATGAAAAATATATATGTATTTAAATTTAAGCTAATTAACACAGAATCATTAATTAGTGTCAAGATAAAAATGTATAAAAGAGAAACATAAAATAATATTGTGATTATTGTTTTTCTTTTATTTTTATGAAATATATATAACTTTATTATATATAAACTTCAAATTTTGTTTTCACAGATCAGTAATTTTTCTACGGTGAAAGATTGGCCTAGGAGTCGGAAAGTGGTATGTGAATTTAATTTATATTGATTGAAGAGATATCCCAACCCCTTATCCAATTCCTCGTCTCTTCAGAAATAAGTTTGTGTTCTCTCAGACTGCTTGCTCTTTAGTAAGTTAGAGTAGACTTCTTTTTTAATCTGTATTTTATAATATGTATAATGTTATATAATACGTGATAACAATATTATATAAACTGTAAGAAAGAAATGTAAGAAAAAATAACACATCTCTAATATTTTTGATTACAGTTATTAACATGCTTAGGAGTGACTGCAGGAGGCATCAGTGCCTTCATCTATGCTTTAGATAGCTCAGTTAGAGCTACTGATTTGATAGCTCATGCTCCAACGTACAAATGGGATTTTTATGGGTGGTTCAACTCATTAGATCATGCTAGGTACAATCTTTATTATTTAAATGTTAACAAAAGATTGCAAATATGTTACTATCATTATTTATATATATTTTGTAGTATGCGACGAGGATGGGAGGTTTACAAAAATGTGTGTGCAGCTTGTCACAGTCTACAATATGTGGCATATCGTCATCTTGTTGATGTTACTCACACTGAAGCAGAAGCCAAAGCCCTCGCAGAAGAAGTCATGGTACAATATCAACAAGAAACGTCTCATATTTATTTATTAATTTACTAGAATATAAGAGTCTATGGTAAAATTTTTATAATATAGGTGGATGATGGTCCTAACGAAGTAGGAGAATACTTCAAACGTCCAGGAAAATTATTTGATTATGTGCCATCACCATATCCGAATGAAGAAGCTGCTAGAGCATCAAACAATGGTGCTTATCCACCTGATTTGTCTTATATAGTTAATGCCAGGCACAATGGAGAGGTAAGTGATGTTTCAGCGAAACAAAAAACTGTATAATTAAAAATAAAATCTATTAAATCATTTTTCATTCAAATTTCATTCAATTTATTAAAAGTACCTCTAATATTTTTAATTAGAAATGTATATTTATTTATTGCAGAACTATATTTTCTCTTTATTGACTGGATATTGTGACCCGCCAGCCGGTATACATTTAAGAGAAGGACAATATTTTAACCCATATTTTGCAGGTGGTGCTATCGGTATGGCACAAGTAAGTTATTTATATATATATTTTTAATTAAAGAAAATATTTAAGTGATATCGAGTTTCGTATCCATTAGTAGTAATAATTTTAAAAAAATTTTTTTCATATAGGCTATTTATGACGAAGTCTTAGAATATGAAGATGGTACTCCAGCAACTGCTTCTCAAGTGGCAAAAGATATTACCACATTCCTAATGTGGACTGCCAATCACGAATTCGATGAACGAAAACAAATGACTATTAAGGTAAAAAACATCACAAATTTTTTTACTTTATCTTATTTTCATTACTTTAATATTAATTATTTGCAGGGTATTGGAATATTAACACTTCTCACTGCCGCTGCATACTATTTCAAGCGACACAAATGGACAACTATAAAGAGTACAAAGATAATGTTTATCCCGAAAAAGTACCGTTAGCCAATGGAAATTAACTCGGCGATGTTAGCTATTGTGCTGGTATCGGAATGTAGTTTCGCAATTTAAGCAATGTATCCGGCAAGTTGTGGCTCCTCTCTGACGATTTAAACTTATTCATATTGCTTGTCGTACAGCATTCGGCAAACCGTCAATTTGTCATCACTACCAAATCTATTAAATTAACTATTGTATATAGTTATATTGAATGGAGTCATCGTCTGATTTAAATAAATTGTTAAACATAAAAAATGTTTATTCCTTTGACGAAATGCTTTATTCAATCTCAAGCAGTTCGCGAAACCGTTGAGTATGGATATTTTAATCTACAAGATAAAAGATAATTTAATTGGCTGAATGTATTGTTTATTATTTATTTTGGTAAGTTTTTATGATAAGGTTCTTTATTAATTTTTATAAGTTATTTTAATTAAAAATTTTATTTCTTTTTCAAAGATTGATACACAAGGGAAAACATCCGCAAAGGTCTCTGAATATACTACAAAGTCATTTGGTTTTAATAAAACATCTATTTATGTTCAAATTAAAAAACCGCTAATATATATGGGTAAAAAACGAAAGAAACGCTCAGTTTTAAGGAAATCACTTTATTCTCCTTAAGCTTGTTTTCGTCCACATGGAGCTATAACTTGTTACTTTTTTAATAGGATGATTTAAATTACACTATTATATTATCGATAGTGTAATACTGAAATGCAAAGCGGACAAAGAAGTATGTATATTTTTTTCATTTGAATAATCAGAACATTTTTACATCACACAAATGTGAAGATATTTCAAAATCTACTTTGGTGGAACGCATTTTTTTTTACTTTATACAAATCTTGAAAGGACATTGTACTAACATAATTATTTTCTTCCTGGGACATATTATATATCACCATCCAAGACTGCGTATAATTCGACTTTCAGTAATAATATAATCCATGTAATTACAGTTGTAATTGCACTAAAGAATGGGATAAGGTTTATAACAATTGATTCGCAGCTTCACTGTGTTCTTTATAATGTGTTAAGAATTAGATACGATTTCAATTAATTATAACAAAAGTAATATTCACATAATACATCAATCATGAAGCCCCTGGATTAAACAGTAAGCATTATCCAATAATCTTGTATTTTAGTAGAAATAATCAAATGTATATGGATAATTAGTATACTTCCAATATATCCAAATATGTAATATTGATTAAAAGATCTCATTTACATGATGCTTCATATATTGATGTACTTTGCCATGCAGCATTATATCGTTCGTCATATATGAGATTACAAATTAAATTATCATTTATACATGCTTCAATTACAGAACGCAATTCGTTTAGCATGAAAGATAGAGAGAAAGAGGCCGTTTTAAGGAAATAAATTTTTCAAACACACGTACATTGTTTACTGTGAATCACTAATTCGAACAGTATGCGGCACAGAAAAATAAAATGAATGTACAGATTTATGATTCGAAATTTCTAATTTTTTACAATATTGAGAGACACATTTCTGCAAGATATGAAATGGCACGCAAACAAAGAAAGAAGTCTTAAAACGGTTCGCACTAACAGGCGTACTCTTCTCTCATTTAAAAAACTTCAACGGCATAAGTTACTCTTACTGATTATTCATTTTTATTACACAGTCTGTGTCTTCAGTTTTAAGGTTGAAAATATTAGTTTTTTTCCGCTTTACATTGTACTAGCTTGAAAAGCTGGAGCAAGAGTTTCCTCGAATCAATTTATATCCGAGTTGAATTACTTTCGTGCGTAAACATGATAGTATATGCAACGAAATAATCGGGGTTTTCGGAGGAATACTACATTTTTAGTGAAAAATTCCGACGAAGAACCAGCTGTGCTTTGACAAAACATTTCATCAATTTCTTCTATCTAATCTATACATAAATTCGGTACACTCATTCAACTTTCCAAGCTATTACTTCCTTTCTTTCACAAAGCTGTTTTTTCGTTTTTTTTGTTTCTTTTTAAACATATATCTTCAGCGGGCACCCTTTTAATATTTGGTACCTTTATTAAATTTCACCTCATGCTATTGCAAAAAGGAAGATATCTCTGTTCATATGTTAGGCTAAAAAGTGCTGCCCTCCGGAGGCTGAGACAGTTTCATATTTTCCTTCAATGTCATCAAACGACGAAGTTCCTGAAGAACCGTTTTAATTGTGTATTCTCGTTGCCATTTCGCAAGAACCGGGACACTGCGATTATCCACCTTATATGGAAATTTTTAGTTGTGAAAATATATGTATTTGTATGTTAATATAAATGCAAAGCATTGCGATATTATATACTTACAGCTCCAGTGGCACTGTTAATGCAGTTCATATTGATTCTGCTTAAAAATCTTACATTAGGGGCATCGTCTGGATATCTTTGACCACAGTCAATTTTCAAACTATACATCCTATTTTCATACGGTGTCTAAAAGATATCAATACACAATTTCATTAAACACACATCAATAAAAATATTTTTTAGGTTCTAATAAATTGTCACAAACTTGATGTAATTAATTAATTAATTCTTATCTTTTAATGATTAATTCTTATCTTTTTCCACATAATACATATAATCATCGATTAATGTCAATTTTTATATCTGTGACAAGTTGTAGTTATTCATTTTATTTAAACATTATGAAAATATATTCTATCTGTTTTCCTAGCTGATATCAGACAATAATAACAGATAGCTGATTCTATCTGTTATTCTAGCTGATATCCAGATACAAACGGAGTTTCAGAAATATCTAATGTAAGTGCAACATAGCTAATACTGATACATAAAAGAATTTCAGAAGTGCATATCTAATGTAAATATCGCAATGTAGTACTAACTTGTAGCCATTCTGAAACTTTAAGAAACATCAACAAGGCTATGCTTGGAGAGTACATTATTGGCACTATCACATCATTTCATCTTTATTGCTCATTATATATAAATTAAGGATAGAATGATGCAATAATTCTAATAACGTGCTCCCTAAATTCAGTCCAAATGTGAAAAGACAACACAACTTTAGCGCGACTTCAAATGAGCGAAAGATGTCTTACCCTAGGTGGTCCAATAATCATACCAGTCCAATGCGTGAGGGTCATATCATCGTCATTCTCTAGACCCCAACTGATCGTGCCATCACCCACACCTTTCTGGCCCTGTTCCAGCTCTTCCAGGAGACGAAAATTTCGGGGCATGACTGAAAATAGACACATATCATGGATGTAGACACATGCTAAACTATTGAGAAACATATCCGACGTTCGCATATCGATAGGTTATGTCTCAAGATAGAGATTGAGCATGGTTAACCTTTCTCGCCGTCGCCGTTTTGATTTTCTCGCGGGCGGGATTTCCGCGTCGCGAAACGTTGTCGCGAGGGAATTGGGACATTGAGTCGCGGCCATGAGTATTATCTCGATAACGTGATTACGAAGAAATACGGCTCGCGCGGTATCCCCCCTCTGACATCCGCCTGTCAACTCGCGTGGCACGGTGATGCGTGGTGCCGGGTCCGCGACAGATTCGTCGCGAATCACCCGATCGCGAGATCCCATTTTTCGATTACGAGGAAACGAGAAGGAACCTAGGAGAGAACCTAGGAAGATCCTCCTCCTCGATTGTCGCGCGGGGGAAGGCCGCCTAAACAAAATAACTCACCTACACCGCTGTTGGGCACCGCCATGATCTCGTATTTCTGCGAGGCGCCGTATTTTTTTTCCCCCCTAAAGTACAACGGGCGAACGCGCACCGTGCGCGACGGACGAAGTCACACGTGGAGCTGGCGCGGCCTTTCTTAACTGCGGCGCGAGCTTCTCATCACTCGTCGAATCCGTCGGCGGTAATCCGGCGCGCTGGCGACCAGTGTCTGTACGATGCGTGCGACTGGCTACCCGATAACGAAAATACAACTCTGCGAGAATTCAGCCAACCTCCGCGCTCCGCGCGAGAGATCGCCCGTTCCCACGGACTACTTGCTACCTAGATCACGCCGTTGTATTCACAGCTCGAGCTCCGCGCCTCCATCAGCGGGAAAAAAAAAACTCGTTCTCTTTCCATTCCTAATCATTGTTCTACCTTCTACATTTCATTTGTTCACTTGCGCGAAATCTCGCGCATGTTTCGCGTTTCATCTCGTGCTTATTAAACGTAAAAAAATTCTGGGTCGGAAAATTTATTTGTCTGTTTATTTGTCATTTTTTTCTTTCTTTCTTTAAAACTTAGTTTATTTAAAAAATAAGAGATACATATAAAGAAGCAAATTATTCGACGCTCGTGATGCACGAATTAATGCATATTAATAAAAGTTGTCGAATTACTTAAATGCATTGTGAATAATATACGCATTTTGAGGATAAAATGATTAATTTATAATTTCCTAAATAATATGATAATATTATTGTTGGATATTTAATTGTTTAAAATATTTACATGTTATTCAAATTATTTATATTTAAATTAACTAATACTTTATATACAATAGCTTTTAATACGCACTAATTCGGTGTTTGATCAAAATCGCGATAAGCGAACAGATTTAAACATTTTTAAAATTGAATTGAATTTTTTGCTTGTGATATGTGCCAAATAAATAACTTTTATAATATTATTTCTGAGGATTTCTCATTGTAAAAATATTATTTACATCTTTGCATTTTTTAAATTAATTAATTCTTTAAAATTAATTTTTTAATTCCTAAAACTTTTCAAAATATTTTTTAAATCACATTTTAAGTAAAAAGAAGCGCATGTACATTTAAAAATTTGTCATTAGCCAATCAGAAATATCACAACAAGGATAAATATTCCCGATTGATACAACTATTCTTTTCGCCCATTTTGTCCAGTTTATATTCTATATTTCAAAGGAATGAATCATTCTTGATTTGAATCATAATGAATGTGCTTCTTTAAGATGATGATAGATAATAATTCAGATAAAATGTATTAATAAAACAATAAAATAATAATTGTTTGCATTATCTCTCTCTTTCTTTATTCTTAAATAAAAAAGAATGTTTTCGATAAGCTCTTTTTATCGCCTATATGAAAAAAATCCATTTCTGACACGTCATCATATTCGGAATGTTATGGCAGAGTTCTAAAGTGAAGTTTGGCGAGCATTGCGCGACGGCGAGACGAGCGTCGCTGATTGGTCGGGAACATTCTTGACGGTGACACACCGGTGAGCGCCGCTGATTGGTCGAGTGTGCGGCAGTGTCCCACGGCGAAAGGGTTTGCGCGCGGGATGGTGCGCGGGTGGCGCGCGATGTGTATCGGCGCCGTTCGTTGCCGGTCGGCCGCGCAGGAGCAGTCGCGAGCAGCGTGAGCGCAGGCGAAGGTGGATCTCGTCTCTTTTCCTCCGATAATGAACAACGCGCGATAACTATCAGTCCGTGTTGTCCGTGGGTGCATCTCGTCGAGTGTCGCGCGCGCGCGCGCGATGCACCGTGTGGTCGCTGCCGGTTTCGTGCTCGCGATAGAGACGCGCTGTCTGACGACGACAAGCGATCACTAGCGGGGACCCCGCTGTGTTCCCGGAGCCAATCGAGGCCCCTGGAAACGCGTCGCCGTGGATTACTCGAAGGGCGGCACGAGCGTGGAGAGACACGCGAGCAGTGGAGAGCAGCGAGAGCAGCGGATAACGCGGGTAAGTACCCGTGAGTACCGGTTTTTATTGTGTTTGTGTTTTGATTCTTCCGCGCGAGAACGGTGCGGAAATATGTATGCCCGTCGTTGCGTCGTCGTCGTCGTCATCGTCGTCATCGTTGTTACCGCGATCGTTCACAAGGAAAAGCACAGCGATACCAGCCTTTTTCTGGAAAAGAGTCGCCACCGTAGTAAACAAATGTAGACACGCCATTGACCTCGCTCGGTCCGATGGCACGAGGTTCGAAACGAGCGTCGAATGGATCTCGCCTCTGGATCTTGTCTTCTCATTCGAGATCGCGATCTTTGACGAATCTCTTGACAAAGGGCGAGACGCGAAACACGTAAAACGGAGTACAGTGAGTTAATGGTGCTCGCCATTAGACGACGTCGGCGA